GCCCTGGCCAGGTGCGGCTGCGTGGCGGGACGGCCCCGCTGCCCTGCAGGCGGGCGGGCCATTCCTTCCATAGAGGGCGGACGTGCCGATGCTCCCTGGTGGCGGGCCTCGCCGACGGTCTGTGCTGAGGGACTTGCGCGTGTTCGTTTGTTAATTTCCCGTTGGTCATGTACCAATCGTCATGTAAAATACAATAAAGCTGAATTACGAGGAAAATGAAAGGGAAAAAGCAAAAACCCTGGGAATAAACCCACAAATTAAAAGCTCAAGTGGTTAGTTATTGGATCTGACAGACAGAAGCTATGCTGTTGAGTGTTCAGAGGTCTCTAAATGCTCCCATCAGTATTTGCGCCCCCCCACCAGGTGGCTGTGGCTGGGGTTTGGGGACCCCATCTGGTCCCTCACTGAGGGCCAGAGCTGCCCTGGACAAGGAGGGTGACAAGCCGGCCAGAGTGCAGCTCCTTCCTGGGGTCCCCGAGCCAGGCCAGCATCCTCGGTGATGCTTTCAAAGAAACTGGCTGGGTGGGGCCCGAGGGGCTGGGCTCTTTGAGAAGCATCTCGCTGGCCGGAGGTGACACTGAGGGGTCACAGCCTGAATGGGGCTGAATTCTGCTCTGGGTGCGGAACAGAGGGGGCTGGGAGGTTTCCGGGCCTACCTGCCTCCTCGTGTCCCGAATTCCCAGCTCGCTGCCAAGCTGTAGAAGCCCTGGTGCTGGGAGGGGTCCTGCCTGGGTCCCGAGACCTCTCGGGGCACAGGGGGAGCGTTGGCTGTTGCTAGGGGCGACCCGGTCCTCCTTTACTCTGTCCGCCCATTCCGGGGCCGGCTTCTTCACCCGTGTCCGGTGGGTCCCTCCTCCTCTCCGAGCCTCCTGGAGGGTCAGAAGGCTTGTGTGAGTCCTGGAATCATCATCGGTCAGCCACCTTTTTGACACCCAACTTTATCATCGTAAGAAAATGGTATTTCCTTTGTGTTATTTAACTTTTTTCAAATTTATTTTATTTACTCAGTAGATTGTGAGCTTTCTAAGGTATATGGGGTGTGTGTGTGTGTGTGTGTGTTGTGTTCATGCGCCCCTCTTCCTGCAGGCTAAGTGCCACACAGGACACCCTGAAACTGCTTGCTGAAATCTCACCAGTTTCTGGGTAGGTGCACCTGCTTCCTGCTTCTGTCATCACCCACCAAAGAAAGTGCAGGAAATAGTAAGACTCCAGGTTCGTGTTATAGGAAAACTGGAATCTAGAGAGACACTTGAATTTAAAAGAATGTCAAGTTTTTCTTTTAGCCGTAATGCATCTCACTGCAGTGTTGTCCGTCCTGGAGGGTTTTGTTTGGTTCTTTTCTGTTTCTAGCTCACAGCACAGGAGGAGAGGCTGGAGCCACAGTGAAGCCAGATAACTGCCAAGGTTTTGTTTTGTTGCTTTGCTTCATTTTTGTTTTATCCCCTCCCACCCCGATCCCAGCCCATCTCCAAGTTCCTGGGTGCTG